AATTACTTTCAAGAAATGGCTGGACGTCACATGACTCTTTTCATAAATGTAATACTGAAAAAGTGGTTCAAATTCTACTTAAGAATGATTATCCATTGGATTTTGTCAAAAAAAATTAGATTTAAACAAAAATCTACATTTAACAAAAATCAAAATAAAGAAAAATGTAATAAAATTACATCATAAGACTGAATTTAATATCAAAATCTGATTAGAAATTACAATACATAATGAAATAAATTTCCAAAAGTTAATAATTTGGAAATTTCCCCAGGGATTATGATTGTTAATGTAATTTAAAGATGTAATACGGCACTGCAAATACAAAAGTGGTACATAAAATTTTTTTCTTCCCTAACGTTTATCGGATTTCACTGTTTTGAGTCAATAAAACGGCGCAAGGAAGGTATGGTAGAAGAGCGGTAATGAGAGAGCTCGAGGATTTTGAGTATGATAGCAAGAGGAGCTTTTGTTTCTTCATTGAGTGTCATAACTGAATTTCTCGTTTCGCTCATTTTTTTTTGCTTTTATTCTACGGATCTCTTGCTTCCAGGCTTCCGTGTTGCTCGTTACAGGTTCTCAAGAGTTTCTTTGTCTTAAACAAGGAGGGAGACTATCAAATACCCGGAAGGGTTTATTGAACCTCGTGAGAAGCACGTGCTAAACGATTTGTTCGGAAATTATTTAGAATTGTGAAATCAACTTTTAAATCAAAATCACTGTAAGAGGAAGATCAAATTTTCTTCAATTGATAATAAGAATAAATGTTTATACAACGAAAAGAAGAAGTAATTAATTTATTTAAAGAGATGATGAAATAATTCTGAATTTCGATGTTAATTTTTGGTAACTTTTGTTTCGTGAAATAATTCAAAGAGGGGAATTTATTTTTAATTGTAGAGAAAAAGAAGTGTGGTCTTTGATTCTAAATTTGAATTCAAGGTGGTGTATTATATACTGCTATGAAGTAAAACTTGGCAACGTAGTTGGTTTTGCAATGGGTGAAGAGAAGCAGCTGTGCAATTAGTACAATTGTCAGGCAGGAGACAGTTTGTCTACTCGGCTTCTGGCTCGTCTCTCTTATCTCAACACCCCTCAGGGGGTCTTGTGTCTCCTTGCGTGGTAATCAGTAAAGCGTAAATCTACCCAGGGACGAGTTTGTTACCGCTCCCACTAAACTACCTTTCCGCCGTCTGCTACTGGCTGTTGGTCCGCGCTTTACGACGAAATTAAAATGCTTCACCTGCTTCTTTCACACGATAACAGTGTATATACAATTGCTCACTTTGTGTTGTTCCATCAAAACATTTCTCATTTTCAGAGACAAGAAGAACCCTCTCGGTTATTGAAAATAACATTTTGGTTTTTAAATAAAAATAACTTTATAAATTACTTGTCAAGCAAAAATAATCAAGTTACCAGATACCTTTGGAATAGGAATAGAATTACCCCTTCAGGAATATCTAATTTGGAGGAAAGTTTGTTGTACTAGTAACTAGTAGGATATCAATTTTTACCGAAGGGAGAATTTGGCCTAACGTGTATTGTTTTTTGAATGAGTTTGGACGCTGTGAAAAATCCGGACTTGTTTTCTGTTGATATCCACTGGTTCGTGGGTAGACAATTCGATTACCATCCCCCAGCTGGTTTTTCCCCGACATCGTCTAGCGTTAAAGATTAACGGAGCTCGAGACCATATTCCGGTATCCCAGGGAGCTTGGTGGGTGTGGACTGTGTTGAGTGTTACAAAGGAAAACCGGGCGTCGCTAGCAAAACTTAATTACATTCGGTTCGACCACGTTCAACCAAGTGTTCTTCTTCCAACAGCACACTCACCTTCCCTCCCTTCTACAACTCTGCGGAACGTTTTAGCTCAAAAACCTAAATGCTTTATCATCTCACCATCGATTACCAGAAAAAAAGGAAGACAAAACTGTCACACTAGAAATATTATTTCCGAATTTTTCTGTTACGTCCCAGAAGGAAACTAAACATATCCTGAATTATTTCAATTCACCGGCATTGGTGATCCGAACCTGATTTATTCACGAAACAAAAGGCTCTGATGTTAATGAACAGGTTAAAGAAAGAGGAACTTAAATTGAATTTAAATTATTAAAGTTTTATTTAAGTTCTTTACAATTAGAATGAGAGGGGAAGAATAGATCCAGATGTCTTCAGGCACACTGAAACAAAATTAGAAGTCGTAGACTTACCTCCTTCCGTATGAGATCAAGGAAATGATCTTGATTAGCGGAAACAAAGAATGCAGTAGATTTCCCTCAAATTGTCTTCGGGTCAGCCAAACTGAAAGGTCCGGAGTTCAGGTGTCGATGCAGATTAGATTGAATACCCATCAGCCTTGGAGTATAGTAACCGAATTATTTATTTGACGTTGACGTTGTGGTAATGCAGTCCTTAGAAAAATAGAAATGTGCCTCGTAGTAAAAATTATCTCCTGGAGTGAACTTGACTAAGACGAGACTTCGAAGAAGACACTTGGTGCTCAAAGAGTTTTTCTGGACTGGAGTCGAAAAACAAACTCGATGACCGTACACAACTAGCTAACTTGGTAGCGTTTGCTGGACTCTTGAATTCGGCAATAGTGTCACCTGGGTCAGTTTCATCTATTGATTTAATTTGGATCGATAATAAAATCCAGAAAAACTTTGGGTCAACCAAGTGGAGAGGGAAAAATAATAAAATTTCTAAAGGAATGCTAAATGGAGATTAGAAAAGGAGAAATTTTGATGGATGTTGTAAATACCGCGAAGGAATGAAAAGGGTTCGGGGTCTAGTACCTAATCTAGTCACGTTTAGTAAGTGGTAAACTGGATAGCGGGAAAGCACGTAATGCTGACAATGTTCTAATTTAATCATACGCGCCAAGAGCTACCAAGATATAACCTCCCTTACCTTAACTACTCTTGAACATCCAGTCCACCGTACCTACCGTTTAGGACTTACTCTCCTGACATTTAGTCCACGAGCAACATGACATGTCAGGTAGGATTTCGTACGTGCTGGAAATTCCACGTAATTCCATGTCTAACGCCAAGCAATGAGAAACGTTCCCATGTTACATTTCGACACCCAACAGTATTCTATAGTTGAAATTCCGTATCATCGACTTCATTCTTTAGCAAAATTTTATTTAATTGAAAAAAGCGGAAATATAACATTCATTCTTTAGAATAAAAAATTCTCGGCTGGAATTGACGTGTTTATGTTGATTATTAACGATTTTTGAAAAAGCTGGTATACTTCAGATCTGAATGTGACGCGGAAATAAAGGAAAGTCGTTCATCCGCTCAGTTTACGGCGGATAAATGATAAGTGGTTCTCTAAAGAAGTTGGAATAAATAAGGTATGATTACCCTCACATTTTGTGTTTGAAAAAAGCACTAATCGTTTTTCCAATTTCCAAAACGATGGGAATTCTAAAACCAAGAATGTAATTTCTAACTAAGTCTTCCATTTGAAATATATTTTTTGTTGGAAAATCTTTTTTTGGAATTCTGTTAACAAACAGAAATCATTATCTCACGAAAGAGAAATGACGAGAGAGGAAAAAGTGAAGGATAGAAAAGTTTTTAAACTTGAACCGTCTTAAATTGAATAGCAATTAGAGTACTTCAAGTTCCATCTGGAGAAATCCTTTTTATATTAAGGGGAAAAAAATCCTTCTTTAAAACCGAACGAATCTAGAAGAAGAAAAACTTTGTCCTCATCAGAAATGAAAAGGAAATGGAATGAAAGTCGTTTGGGATGCGCTGAGCGTCACTTTAAAGCCTTTTCGGTTGCACGATTTGCCTGACTAATAAGAGATACTTCTCCAACAGTCATGGAAAACAGACGACAAAGGCAGAAGAAGAAGTCTTCCTGCTTCGTTTTCATCTTCTCAAAGAGCATCTAAACATGTATCCCTTTTCAATTCTCAGTTCCTCTTTCTCTATCTCACTTGCCTCCACTCATCTTCAACCCTGCGCGTCTTCCGGCTTAACATTCGGAGAAATTACACCTTGAAACTTACTGGAAATAGCGAACGATAATAATATGGCAATGTAGAACGCGAAATTCCAACTTCGAGGAAGGAGAGTCTTTACCCGAACACGTTTTGCCATGAGGAGAGGATGAAGAAGAAGAAGGAAATGGGGGATTGGGGTTTGCTATATAGTATGAGAGGTAGATGAGAAGGAGTCTCCTCTCAGCACACTCGTATTGTGTAAGGAATGCTGGAACTTCATTGGAGAGAAACTGCTAACTACAGATCGAGAACCATGCAGCGTCGTAATTTTCCCTCTTCTTGCCTGTAAGGGACACGTTGTGCTTGCACGTAGAGGCTTCGAATTTTCCCATTCCAGACCATCAAGACAAAGGCGGAGTCACGCGGCTGAGAAATTTCACTCGAACGATAAGAACAGAAACGCTGATTTCTTGCTTGAAATTGGAGAAAAAAATTACTACCCAAGTCTGCATATTAAACCAAGTCTGCACCGAAAAAAATCACTGCATCCTTATTTCTCATCGTTTACAAAAAACATAATGCGAAAGTAATTAAATATAATCATGTTATGTCTCAAAAAGGTAACTTTTCTTTATTGTCCGCATATATATACTTACGTTAAACATAGAGAACAATTTTCCCAATTGAAATTGTTTCCGGTCAAAAATTGTCAGCATATCGTTGAAAAACAACTTCTATTTGAAATGACCACTGACCTGAAAAGACAGTCTCGTCTAAATAAGAAAAACGTAGATGTGATGAAAGTGCCGGCAATTGGAATACTAGAAAGAGAATTGTACGATTTACTTTTTACACTAGGCACTCAACTTTTATTTTCTTCATTCCAAGACCGTCTCTTTTATAGATTGAAAAATAAACAACATTTTACAATTCAAAAATGACGATTGAATTTTGTTCAATATATTTTTCCTGTTACCAAAGAATTCTAAAAAGAAAATATTGTCATTTCCTTTTTTTCTGCTTTATTTTTCAGCAACAACAGCAGCAAGCACAACAGCAAGTTCAACAACAGCAGCAGGCAAATTCTCCCGGAAGCGGAAATGGAGGGAAAGGAAGTCCGTCATCTGGGAATTCATCGTCTCCCGGTACTGTGTCAGCATCAAACAAGTCCCAGACTGAACCAAAACCGGTTGAATGCAATTTGTGCCATCGGAAATTCAAAAATATACCGGCTCTAAACGGTCACATGAGACTACATGGTGGCTACTTCAAAAAGGTAAAGTCACTTTTATTTCCCCTTTGCAGAGAGAATATTTCTTTAGCGGAGAAAAAAATTTTTTTTATGAGTTATTTTTTGTAACAAATCCCAAACGTTTGAAATAGAAGTCAAAATATTTGTTTTCGGTGATTCTAGTGGAAATCCTTTCCTTCAAAAAGTTACTAATTGCTCCTTGGTTGTTGAGGTTACGCAGTCAATAATTTACCTAGATTCATCATCAAAGGTTTAGTACTCTCTAGACTTTCTAAATTCTCTCAATATTGAAGCTGCAACAAGTGTTAATGGAACTCAATGAAATTCAAGCAAAAGAACATTATTTGTTATAATATCCGAATTTTCAAATTTTAATCTCCTCTTGTTTATTACAAAGTCTAAAATACATTTGTTTCGAAAAGGATTAATTAAAATAGAAACAAATTTCCGCCAATTAAAACAAAAAAGAATAGAACACAAATCATCATCTAATTATGAACAAATTTTCTACGAAAGCTTTTTCTATCTATTGAAAAGAGCAAATCAAGAACAAATTATGACGAGGAAACTAAAATAAATTTTCAAATGAAAAGGCCCTTTTATGTGAACGTTTCAGAAAAACTTAACGAGGTCATAGTGTGTCTGAATGCAACTGCTAAATATAAAAGGGAAAGATCAGCGATTTTCCAGGCAGCCGATTCTGCTGGTTCAACGCTGATTAAAAATGTCTTAACGAACACCAGAGGCATGCTACTGCGACGTTTATAGAAAAGGAAGAGGAGGAAAAAAATGTTCTAAAAAGACTCGTCGAGAAAAGTTTCTTCTTTCATCTGATTTGTGCAGGAATGAAAGTTTTTCTCCAAGGAATTGGAAAAGGGTTTTCAGTGGCATGGGTATGGGAGCGGTATGGGTGACGACAAAGTGAGTTGAATAGAGAAAGAGAAAGACAGAGATGGAAAAAGATAAGGCGATGATCGAATCGAAATGAACCCATTAACAAGCTCTTTTGCTTTTAGAGCATCATCTTTCTCTTTCTCTCACTCAACAAAATTCAACAAGAATGGAGAAACACTCACAATCAGTGCAAACATTGTCTCACACTTTCATCTCCATTATGCAGATTGAATCATTCTGAACTCTTTATATTTCAAAGCACTACCATCGCTACCATCTTTGACAAAGTGTCATCTTCAGGGAGATTTAATAACACAAGATTCCTCTTTCTCTCAATTCGATCAGAAAGTTCGTTAATGCAAACATTTGCTACTGAATTAGAATGATGGCTGACATTTTTTCAGTCATAGCAAAATAATTGTCAGACAGTTCGGGAAAAATATTTAATTGCTCTCAAAATACTATCCAAGTTGACAGAAGTCTGTAAGGATTGTGAAGGAAGGCGACATACCAGATTTCGTCCAGATGATGATGATGATGATAAATCAATATTCTAGAATGTTAATTACTACTAATAGCATTGAAATAATTGCTTGAAACTAGAACATATGTCATATGTGAGAATTGACAAGTGATCGAGGTGGAGTGTAAGAAATGAAATGTTAGATGTGCAAAATCAATGGTTAGACATTAAGGGACCAATCAATATTCATAACGCGAATGTCGCGTCAAAGAGCGAGTTCAATTTAGAACGTGATATATCGAAGTTTGACGTAGGAAATTGAGGTTCGCGAGTCATCCCGATTGGGGGGGGGACCACCTTCGTGTGCCATTAGTGTTAGACAACGAAGCAGGTCCTGGCACGCAGGGAGTTGGTTTTCACTACCCCTCCATACCCACCCCATATTCACTCCTTTACCCTCCTTCTCACCCCCTCCACCATCCAACGAGTATCACACACGCCAGAGATTCCATCAACGGATAATCGAATGGTGCCTCAATTAGCTCCGCTTAGTGATTAACTAACAGGCCGCTTATCTCCTACGTATCAATTAACTATCTTTCCTTCTAATTTAGAACGACCTGCTGATTTCAAGTCTTCTATTTCATCACTATCTCTCGTCATTTATATAATATATTATGGTAGTGAAGGAATTTTGACGTCAAATGTAATTTCAATTTTGTTTGCTTTTTTTCCAGGACTCTGAGAATAAGAAGAGTGAGAAGAAGGAGGTCGTTGGACCACCGCTTCAAACAGCGTCCGTCAGTGTACGAGCGTTGATCGAGGAGAAAATTATTCAGAAAAGAACCACTGGTGAGTTTTTATGGTATTATTATTTGGTTATTACGATGATGGAGGGATATCAAAAAGCGATAATGGTAATTTGATGATTTCGCTCTGCTTTCGGTGAAAGTTGAGAATATGTTGAGTTTTGGTTTTCTATATGTCCAATTTTTATTATTTTTTCTAAATACTTTGCGACCGGGACTTTAAAATAATAATTGAAACATAAGCATCAATACCGTTCGTTAGTTCACTTTCCTTTATGCAACGACAACTCGAATTTGGATTCTTTGGATTTATCTCCTTACAAAGTTCTCCCAAAACGTCAACATACGTCTTTCCTTCAGCGATTCCCATCATCATTTTTGAAACTCTCATCGTATTTCCCTTCATCTTGGTGTTATGGGGTTTTCATGGATCAGTCATCGTTTCATTCCATTTTTTTGGAAGTGCTTTTTTCTTTTCCTTCTTCTTAGGTTCGACACCGAAAAGCGCCTTTTGGAGATTTCATCCGGTAGAATTTCATCGATTTTCAGTAGATTTCTCATTGGATTTCGTTACCTCAGAAATTTGACTAGAAAGGGCGATACGGATTTGGGACCTAAAATTACCAAAAACCGGTAATTGTATTAATGAAAATTTGTTTGCATCTTTAATGTAGTTAATTCACCTAAAAAGAGGGGAATTGGTGTCCAAACTATCCAAAATCTGTAATTGCATCGGAATTATGTTGGAATCAGTAATAGAGTTAATTAGTCACAATATAGTTAGCTCAGAAATTCACCTAAAAAGGGGAATACGAATTGGAACCAAAAACCATCCAAAACCGGTAATTGTATTAATGAAATTTGTTGTCATCTTTACTGAAATTCATCTAATAGTTAAGTTATGTTATAGCTCAGAAATTCACCGGAAAAAGGGGACTGGGAATTGGGACCCAAACTATCCAAAATCCGTACATTCATCGGAATTATCGGAAGTTTGTTTGCATCTTCAGTTGTTGTTATTCTAATAGTCAGGTTACATTACTTCCCAATTAGAAATTTATGTAAAGAGGAGTGAAAATAAAGAAAGCATTTTGCACACGAAACTTTACATCATTGAATCGAATTGTAAAATAAAAATTTTATGATTACACAATGTCTGTAAACATTAATTTTGAAAAATTGTTTTTCTTTCATTGGACCACGGATGTTAAGTGTTTTTCAATTCCTCACACAACATATAACGCAAAAGCGGAAATTAAAGTAAAATCCAAACAACAATTCCATTGCGTTTGTTTCCTGTGTGAATGATTCGTTTAAACATAAGACAAGTTTATGTATTTGTTTGTATTTGTATACATTGATTCTCCCTTTTTCCTCCCTTCCTCTCTTTCCCTCTCTCTCTCTCTTGCTTTACACGTTTATCGTGAAGAGTTTTGAAGGACTTTTGTCATTTGTTGTTTCGGTTGGGAAAATTTTGCGGAGCTTTTCAGAATTTCAGTATAACGAAAAGCAGTGGAAGATTCAAAGCCCGGAGGGATGAAAATGGAGAACGACGCAGAGAGTATCCTCGCATAAATCGTTAACGACGTGCACTTTGTTACAAAAGCGCTCGTGGCGCTCCCTCTTGCTTTGATTTATCACCGCTACGTGGACAATGCGAGAAATATTCTGGCATGCTCGACCCATAAATCATAGGGAGCGGCGATCGGCAGTCCATAGATGTGATAGCATGAAGTTATGTAGAGCACGCGAAAAATACTCCCCTCACAACTCCTTCTTTTACATTTTATCCATTTTAGAATAGAAAAAAAGAGACACTCGATAATTGTAAATTCACTTTTTCCTCAAAACTTCCACTTTTCTAAGTTAAGAAAACATTTTTGCATTCTCATCACGTATTTTCTAAAGTTGATAGAAAATTCGCAAATGTTTCGATTTGAGAGAAGAAAGAAACATAATCAATTAGTTTTTACAAAAGGAAAACATTCATAAAGTTTTTTATTTCATATCTCAATTTCTTTTGACTGTCGTTGAAAAAAAGTAGCGTCACCAGAAAAATTGAAAATTGATTGCCACTACCAATTTATAGCCACAACAATCAATTTGTTTCCTTTTGCGGGGAAAACAAATCACAATTACCGGGGTACAAATTGCCCTTTTTCTCCATTGGGAAATATTGTTGGACACTTTTTTTTCTAACGTTGCATTATCATTTCTTTGAAGAGCAACTATTCAAACTTTCAAAGTTTAGACAAATCAAAAAAAGAGAGTTAAAATTTCAGCTCGATAAATGGAGATTAATGAAAAGTCTCGAACAATACTCTATTGATTCTTCTTCTTTTACGAGATGATTGTCAACATAAAAGGAAACTTTCATTTTGTCGAAATGAAAATTCGAGTCTTCAGAATGGTTAACCTAATTAATTAGTTTTAATTAACTATATAAAAGAGTAGAGAGAAACATTTCATTGAATATTATTTCCGGTATCTTTCAATTAGATGAGGGGAAATATTATTTGGAAGAAGGAAATTATAACGAGAAGTTTTTGAGGTCAGTGAATTTAGGTTTTTTTTTTCCTCGTATATATATACACAATGTTTCAATCGTCACAAAGAGAAAAGACTCCTTTCCTCTCATTTCCATTTTCATTTTATATACCATTTTCCCTCTTCCAGACGTAGATTCCCGCCTAACTTCTCGCTCGTTGACGTTCTGATTGAAAAATGAATGAACCACTGCTCGTTAGTTCATGCGACCGTTCATCCGTTGTTCATTTGACTGCGTATCCAAGTATTTTCGGAACGAATCATTCGACTGAAAATTTCAAATCGCCCCCCTCGATTTCCTGCGCGATTTAATCATGCAGAGGCGTTCAACCGATACAAAATGCTCAATTAATAAAAAAATATTCTGAAAAATGATAGAGACTGTTTACTTTTTTTTTATCAAATACTTTTAGGGTAAAAATTTTTATCAAATTTTTCCGTTTTACAGCATCAGATGCAAATGCAGCTCAAACGAGGTCAAATGCTTCAGCATTTAATAATCCCGATAATTCAACGTCACATGTGGGAAAACCAAATTTCGCTGTACCTGCACCACCACCACTTGCAAGTGGTGAGAAAACAAGAAGATTATCGGATGGTGATCATTTTCGTCAACCCAATGTCACAATTACCGGACATGTTTCGGTACAAAAACAACTTCAAGAAGCACAGACACAAGCTCAAGCACAAGCACTCGCTGATTTAATTCTAAAGGTTAAAAAGTTTTCTTACCTAATTTTCTTTTTACGGTAATATTTTAAAAACTTTGTCTAATTAGTAATTCTATTGACAGGGAACGACAAAAATGGCTGTTAAGAGAGCAACATCTGATCCTGGTCAGAGAGTACAGCTTGCTTATCAATCGCCAGTTCAAACGACAGCGAATAATTCAACATCAAATCAAAATCAAACCCAAATACAAACTGGAGTTACGGATAATTTTGCAATGACTAGTGGATATTCGGAGGATGGTGGTTATTTTAGTCCTAGTTTACAAGACGAGGTATTTCAACAAGTTACAGCCGTTCCAGACAATGTATTACTTCACGCAACACAACTGGATTCAATTCAGGTAAAATCGATGCTTAAAATTCCTTTTTAAAAAAAAGAACCTGTGCAATTAGTTTCTCTGTGCAGATCAGCTTAAAGTGAAGAGTAAAGATAATTGGGGTTTTAATTTTTCTTTTAAACTTTCTAGAAATCTTTTTTCTTTCGCGATAAGAAGACTAAGTTCAGATAAAAAAGAGAAAGGACATTTGCATGTTCCAGTCGCATATTAAGACACGATATTCAAGATCCTTTGACACTCAAATTAGCCCTCATCTCATTATGCATTCCGCATCGAGCGTTGGAAACGTTTTAGTTTCAATTATGGCGCGGACAGAGCCAACGCTGTGGAATCTAATAAAGGAAATTATCTGAATACTTGACGTCGTACTCGCTTGAAAAACCTGAACTTCCATTTCCACTCACGGGGAAATTTTAAAAGTCCCTTGTGAATTCCCTAGATTCTGAGTTTTGTTTGTCTTTAAGTTCAGATTCCTACTTTGGAATTTTGTTAAACTTTATACTAAACTTTACTACTTCCGGAACAACTCGCCTTTGAGAGATTTAGTTTTAAGGATAGAGTTCTTAATCCTTTTAGATACATGTTGTAAAGGAAGAGAGAGAAGAAAGCTTTGTAATAAGACTGTGTTTTCTTTTATGCAGTTTCAAACAAGCGGCCTACTTCAGGAACAGGCGTCGAATGAACAATTACAGGACATTGCGCTCGAAGATCGATTCTCGTCTCAACATACAGTGAATCCTGATCTTCAGGCACTGGTCAATTCACCGCTTCCTGATTCACTCGCTGAATTTAGCACCTACGGAGCGCAATTTACAGAGAGTCCGCACACATTAGCGACACAATCGCCTTTACCTTCGCCACTAACACGACACGATAGTCCAAGTTTCACTTATCCTACTCCACCGGCTAGTCAAGAGGGTCTTCTATCAGGAACACTACCTCTCTTGAGTCCACAAGAAGATCCCGAAGCCGTTCGTCCTGTTTCGTCACCTCTGTCTGCTGCATTCTACACCACAACAATGTCTTCCGCCGAAGCAGTTGAGGAAGCTCTCAGCGAAGTTCTTCCCGGTGAATCGGAAGCTGATGCCAATCTTTATGGTTCCGGTTCACCAAATCCCCATTCTCCACTACCAAGTCCTCCACCCTCCTCAGTCTCATCTCCAGGACCAGGAAACTTTAATTCCAATTTTCCCGTCTCGCCCCATCACCTACAAAATCAAATGATGCCCAACTCTGAAGATCCCCTACTGTCATCAAGTCCAAAAGATTTCACCGGCCGGCGGAAAGTTGAATTTCAATCCTACAAACTCATCACAAGTCAAAATCTCATGGACTTTGGTCTTGGTAATGGAAGTCTCGCTGGTATTGTCGTTGACAATAATGGTGAATTCAAACTCATTCAAACTGCCGGTCTTCAAAAGGCGAACGTCTTCGTTCAAGCTGGTGCACTAAGTCCGGCTTTAACATTCAGACAAGAAATCCGACCCGTAAATCCAAAAATTGAAGGCAATTTAATTGGTAGTCCAGGATTGAATAATCAATTTCAAGGACAAGTGCATCAGCAAGCAATAAATCCAGCCAAATTTTTAATTCATTCAAATCAAAAGAATTTGAAGCATAAAGCAAATAGTTTACCAATTCCAGTTGAACAGATAAAGGAGGAATTTGATGAGGACGTTTTTCTAAGTCCAAGTAGTGTTTCAACTGAAAGTCCAGCGAGACATTGTCGAAAGAGGCCGAGGCTCGATAGTCAAGGATTGAGTAGTTCACATTCATATCCATCGCGATTAAGAAGAGCTTGTGATCGACATTGGGACAGTAGTTACACTCCGCCACCAATTTTAAATCCGTCAAGATCCGGACCTGGATTGTACGCTAGATTACATCAATACGAGAGGGACTCGGATTTTAGTTCCGACGATTCACAAGGGAATGATGGTCCACCGCCTAGAATTAATATTGGAACACGATATCAAGCGACGATTCCAGCATTTGGCTGTGATGGCGATAAAGGACGGGGCGTTCAAGAAGCCGATCATCTACTTTGGGATCCTGGTATAAATGGAGTACTCACCGAAAATGAATGTAGGTGGAAATTTCTAATTATTTTTTGTACTTTCGTTAGGAACAGTTCGTGTTAATGAAAAAGTGATTTCCCTCGGTTTTACAACAGAATTTTCATGTTTCAGTGGAGATGTATCTTCAGTTCGCGTGTTGTGCTGCTGTTCCAGGCGGTGGGAGAAACAAAGAATATGCCCTCCATCTTCTACACATGTGCAGAGGAAATATTCGCGTAAGTTACTTTTACAATTACAGGCAATTATATGCTGTCCTTCCGGTTTGTTCACTTTTCTAAAGGTACCGTCCCATGACCGCGTAAAAGCGTCGGCGTAAAGCAGATATCGTGCGATAGAAAGAGATGAACAGATATCACGTTCTCACTCTTTCACATGGTTTACGCTTTACGCCGACGCTTTCACGCCATCAAGGGACGGTACCTTAAAAACCGTAGCTTTTTTATTAGAACCTTATTAGTTCATGGCTAACATTATACACTTTGCCATGAACTAATAACATTATAGTAGAAAAGCTGTCTTAACGGTTTGCACACTTTTTAAATAGGACAAACCGTCAGGACAGCATATAGGCAGTTACTTGTAGATCGTAAAGGCATTTCCACAATATCGTTGGATAACTGAATTCTAATATGTCCACTTATTAAAATAGGAGGCGATGCTGAAACTGATGAGACCAACGTCATCATTACCAGCCGATCATCCTCTACTTAGTTACGTGTGTCACGAATCTGACCGTTGGACACCCCATGAAATGGATATGTTTTATCAAGGCCTGTTAAAGTACAACAAGGACTTCTCCGGAATTTCACGGGATATTGGAAGTAAGTCCACGAAACAATGCGTGCAATTCTACTACCTCTGGAAAAGACTCTGTCCCGATGAGTACAAAAGGCTACGGGCACGTCATGGAAAACCAAAGATCAAAATTGAAATTAAAGACAAAGACTTTAAAGACACCAAGGAGCTTCGCGATGCAATTGCTTCCGTCACCGAAATGGATTTCAGTGAAGAGAAATCAATTCTGCATCGAACATTGGTAAGAAAAATATTCCATTTAATAGATAGCCAGTCTGTACACTTTTTTTGAAAACTGTAGCATTTCTATTACAACTTATTAGTTCATGGCTAACATTATTTAACCATGAACTAATAACACAATAGTAGAAAGGCTATGCTTTTTTACTGGTGTGCAAACCGGAAAGACAGCATATAAGCAGCTACCTGTATCAAAGTAAATCCTTTTTTTTCCCAATAATCCGAATTTTGGATAAAGGCTAACACACAAAAGATTCGCGAACGAGACGCATGAGGTAGAAAAGGACAAAAATATAACTCTGTCCTTTTCTAACCAATGCTTTGCGTTTGTGAAGCAGTTGTGCATTGGCCTTAAGATCGATCGCGCATGCGCTTTGAAAAATAATGGTCAATTTACAGTTAAAATAACGCTAAGATTTGTAAATAAAATTTTTTTTTCAGTTACAGACAAACGAAAGGGAAAGTTCAGCAACTTTAACAACAAGTGATGGTGAATTAAGGTTATTCGCCTACGACTGTCCAGAGGTGAGTTTACGAGAAAAAGCAAAAATTCCCCTAAATGTGTAGTTTTCAACTAACGACAATTTGTATATTTCTAAAAAAAAAAAAAATAAGAAACTATCCTATCGAAACTTATCTATTTTCTTTTTTTTTAAGGATTGTAACTCACTCTACACGATGTTACATATGTGAAACCTAATTAAATGTCGCATGTCCTTTTTTTTATCGTACAATTTTGCATTCGAGTCAGTTCATTTTATTTTTCTCAAAGAATTATTATTATTATTTTCTAATATAATGTTGCCTTGTAAAGTTTTTTGTGTTTTTTAATTAAAAAGACATTTGAATTGTGTCGTTGTCATTTGTTTGTTTGTGTTGTCGTTTATTTTGGCTTTGTGTTTTCTTTGTGTTGTCAGAGCTTTAGCGGAAGTGTAACAGTAATGATGCAGGCCGGAAGCACCCAAACCGCCAAAGTCGGCAAAACTTGCCACGCCACAGTCAACACCAACTCACAAACTCACACTAGTTCTGAGCAACATCTACCCGTGCCCACCCCACTTCACTACCCCTGCAAGATTTGCGGGAAGTAAGTCTTCTAATCTCTAAGTCAACGATCATTTTTTTTTCTCGTGTTTATTCACATTTTGTCGATATAAGTGGGGAGGGGGAGTTATGTCCAAAAATATATACGTTTTCGGAAAAGGGGATTTTTTTTTGCAAGTAGAGATTAGTATATCGTGTATACTGAAACTACAAACTCTTTGAAAAAAATTTACACCTTCTATCAAATCTTTTTTTAGAAATATAAAATGAAGATTTGGATGTTTGACGTTACACTAATAATGTTGGCGTAGAAGGGGAAAAATTTATTGGGGGACAGAGAAATTCAGAGATTAAGAAAGCAGGGTTGGGTAGCTTTCTTGAAAGTTTATTGGTTCGTAATACAGGCAACTGCATATATGCTGTCCTACTTTTAAAAAACATGGCTTACAAGCAGTTACCTGTATAACGAATCTGACATTTCTAACCTGTACCGCAATTGATTTTTTGTCTTAATATGAAAAAAATTATATTCTTTGCTATTTTTTGTTTTAATTTTATTTGCAGTATGCCAAAAATTTTAAAATTCATAAAGAGAATGAAAAAACTATCGCCTTAGAAACTTTTCCTACTAATTGCTAATTACTAATGCTCGTTACTCTGTCTAAAATTTAGCTTCTGCGCTTTTGTAGTTTTAATGTTTATTTGATGTTGTTTAACTTTGTTATCACACCATTTGAAACTTAGCTTAATTACTATTGCCAGGAGAGCTTTTCTTTTAAAGAGCACACATTTTATGGTAATGTTTCCTAAAGGAAGAACGAAGGGGGAAAAAATGACAATTACAGTTTTGCAGAAAGAGTCAAATGTTTTCTGATTGGTTGGCAATATTGCTAGCCAATCAGAAAACATTTGACAGTTAACTGTATTCTCTTTTTCCTCAACGTTTTTTTTTTATACAAAAGTATAATCATTAAAAGTTCGGTGTTTTATTTTCTCTTTCTTCTTCTTTTTGTAGAGTTTTCAACAAAGTGAAAAGCAGAAGTGCCCACATGAAATCACATCGGCCGTTGCCCTGTCCAGATTCAACGGCACAGGAATCTAAGAGGCCAAATCAAAATCATCATAATACAAGTCAAAATTCACAAAATACGCAGGGCTTGCAGCAGAATTTGCATCAGCAGACCCAGGGCAATACCCTACCTCAAAACTTCAATGGCTGCGAGAGCAGTATTCAAAACTCGACTCAATTATGGCACAACCCCACGAGACTAAGGCCTCCATAGTCCAAGACTTCAGGCCCAATGGAACTAATGTTACCTTTAATACAGGCTGTTATGATAAGGTAGAAACGTCCACTGGACAAGATTTTTTTATAAATCGCGACCGTGTTTCTGCTGCCCCCCCCAAAAAAAAAGGAAGAGACAAAACTTCCTCAAAATAAAAGAATATAACCTAAAATCTGTGCCAATCCTTAAGGAAAGACAAGAAAAAAATAAACTGCAAAAGCAAAACTAAATAATTTCATAAGTATTTAGAAAAATCTATAAGGTAGCGCAAAATTCGAAGAGATTCCTGTTTAGCGCGTAAACAGGGTATGGCGTTCTGGTCATTGAAAAAAAAAAATTTACGTAGAAAAATGATTAAAAAAAAGAAATTGAAGTGGGCGACTTCGAGGTCACCTTGAAGGCACATCGAGTTTCAAATGGCCTAAGGAACAAGATCACACACACAAAAATACACACAGAAGAATATAAATTTAAAAAATGCGACGATTCTAGCATGTTTCAATTGTTCCGCATGATTATTATTATTATATTGAGAAAAAAAAATCGCGCATATCGTCTCTAAGTCCTCTTATAGTATGTGAGATCATCTAAGAATGTGCCACAAGATAAATTACTCTGTTACCTGTTGCGTCTTTTTATCGTTCTTTCGATTTTTTTGTTTGTTTATATATATATGTATACACTTTTCATATTTTCTTTTCAAAACTTGCAGCGTATAATTATTCCATTATCTGAGAAAAAAAGCCAATCGGGTATTTCAAAAATCTTTCAAAGGAAATATTTTATTTGAAAATAACCTCAAAATATGCATCATGTGCTTGACAATACTCTTTTCTTCCGAAAATAATTTATTTGTTACTCCTAAACGATCCTTTTGTGTCTTCCTAAAGTTTATTGTTTTACTCTAACTAAATGCAAACTTTGCATTATTTTTTTTTATTCTTTGGAACAAATTTTTGAACTAATAATACTTTGGAAAAAAAAACTTTTTCAAACTTTTGATTCCCTAACCTAAAAAAATACTTATTTTTTCAACATTAATTAAAAAAGGATTTATAGACCTTTTCATTTAAGGAAGGAATCTGTACTGCGCAAGCGCGGAATATATATAGAACTTCCGACAAAGTTTCGAGCACTTTTTGTACAAAATGCACAGTGCCAATAGTGAAAAGTAATTAAAAAATATTACTAATAAATGTAGAAAAAAAAAAATTAGCGTGTATTAAAAATGAGCAGTATCCCTGAGAAAAATAATCCACAAAGGAAAAAAATTGATGCACAAAAGAAATGTTGTTTTGGGAATTGCAAAAGTGATACTCGTTGCAAGTCTTATTTGACTGAAAATTATTACTTTATTTCTTTCCGAAAACCTTTTAACATTTAGAAAATGAAATATTAGGAATGAAAATATTCGAAGTAATTGCAAAACTTGTCAAGTATATCGAAAATGAGACCTTTGGGTAAGGTTATGTTCATAACATAACATAACCTTATTTACATGTAAACAATATAGACTTTTTTACCCTTTAAACACTGACTTCGGCTTTATAACCATATTTTTAATTGACAGACAGTATTTTTCTCTACCTGTTCAAACATTAATTTTGCTTCTGGAATATCATTTTCATCGAGTTTTTTATTTGAATTGTTATTAGCACAATATACATTCTGACACAAAGTTGCTCGAAAATTTTCAAATCGCGCCGGCTGTCATGGCGTAGCTTCAACTTCCGGTCTTAAATGAAAAGGTCTATTTGAATAAAATAATCAAATGTTTTAAAAATCAAACTGAATTATCTTTCTAACCTACAAATATTTCTCGAAGTACTCACCTCGTGTTGTGCGTCTTGTTCACTTTCGTTGGGAATTACTGGGAATCACCGGGAATAGTTCGTGTGAAGTAAAGCCCCAAGCACAATAACTTCATGAACAACGAAACTTAAGGCCTGAGCACAATTGCTTCGCGTACGTAAAGCCTGAGTTCAAAAAAGAACAGAAATATATTCGTTTCTTTTTCTATCTCATGCTTCACGTTCGCAAAACTATTCTGCTTCGGCCTTAATGCACAAGACAAAAGAATAAAAATAAATTTGTGTCCTTTTTCATCTCATGCAAACTATTGTGCCTAGAGCTCTAACAAAAAAATGCACTCGAGTCATCAAGCATTAAAAATTAAAACCATCTATACCTCCGAATGGTTTTTTTTCCCCCGATAAAACGAATACTTAAAAATTCGCCAATAGTTTTGATACTTGTTGCACGTTTATGTGAAAAAAATACGTTATTTAGATATTTAGACATATAATAGTTAGAAAAAGCGGCAAAAATTTGTTGTGATCGTCTGAAAAAAAATTCTCTTTTTTTTTGTTAAAACTCTAAATAACAAATTTGAGAATATTTCACGAATATTAAAAAAAAACAATGCACAATGTTGCATTATAGATAAATGGATGTATTTTAAAATTATGTATATCTTTAGGCGGTGATTTTTCTAAGAAACACGCGCAAAAAGAAAATTAATTTAAAAAAAAATTCGTTGTTCAAGTTTTCACGGACGAATCAAAAAAAGAAAAAAAAAAAAAAATAATGTCGAGATGCGAGCTAGATAATTATCTCAATATTATTATTATTATTATTATATATAATCGGTTTAAGAAGAACTTATTTCAAAATCACTACGTGTACATAATACTGTGTACATGCTTGTACATATATTTGAATGTCTATACGTACAACTAAAAAGTGTATTTTAATGCTAATTAGATAGAATATAGATTGTTGTAGAAGGGATCTATATATATACAAACATTTATTATATATTAATAGGTATATATATATATTATACACATTGCTTGGTTTTTTCTACCTTACTCAAGGAGTCTACGTGGTGAGACTCTTGCAAAAACAATAAATAAATTCGCTCTCTTCTATATTATAAAATACACATAAATATATTTTATTATTCATATCTTCTCACTTTTGTAATTTTTAAAAGAAATTTCTAGATCTATACTCAATTTTTGCAATCCTTTCAAGATTATATTCGTTTCGAAGGTTATAGAATTTTTTTTTTCAAGTATTTAGAAAAATATTACACTGATGATTTCTTTTCTCCTGTTTTTTAAATGGAGGCAAACAGTTGATTATGGATTGTAAAAGAAATATTGGGAGTTTGTCACAAAATTTTTTTTTCGTTTTTTTAAAAATAAAAATATGTAACAGTTTATGTTTTTTAAAAAATTCTTCTTCTTATATGACTTTAGGCTGTGCCAACTGTCAGAACTGTATTTTTTTTTTTTTTTTTTTTTAAATAAAAAAAATTGCATTTTGTCTTAAACAGAATTTTGAGGTTATGTTTTGTTAAATCGAGTCAGGAATCGAGTCAGGACATAGTAAAGGCACTTTTACAATAAACATTGAAAATCGAAAATTATAAATCGACAACTCCCGATATAATTTTCCATCCTGTCAATAAATTGTCCATTACCTTTTACTTTGCAAATTGACAATATTTCTGTCGCTATTTTTTAAATACACTGAGATAACAATATTTTTATAAGAGTGTTACACCTACTGCAAAAAAAAATTTATAACCTCAAAACGTTTTAAAGAAAAAAAAAAGGTTGTGATATCTCATGCATAACTGTTGTGTATTTAAATTATTTTATTTTAAGATATATAAGTTTTCCTCGTTTATAAATTTTCCAATAAGTACATTGTAAGGTAAAAATAATTTTTAAATTTCATGCGGCTCAAAATAACAACTTAAGAATGTAAAATATCAAATGTTTCCTATTATTAAAAAAAAAGAAAAGAAAACTAAATTGTTATTCAAGAGATTTACCAATCGTAGACACTGCGTAATTTTACCATGAAAAAAAACTATTGTTATTCATTGTTACTGCTCTCCTTTTTATCGACTTTTGCCATATTGAAAATAAATCACGCTATATACATTTTAACTTTCTAACTTTTTCTCGACTTATTAAAAAAAATATATATATATAAATAAAATAAGCGGTGAGTGACGCGGGAATGACGCTCAAAAAAAAAAATGTTAAATATCACGCACACTATTTTCTTTTTTTCTTTAATACAATATGGTGACTTTTTTTTCTATAATTAAAAAAGAATTTCGAATATGTCGAACGTCGATGATTTCTGCGAATGTGCTATTATTAAGTTTAATTAGAGGGAAAAAAAACCTTTTTTTGTAAAAATTTCTCTTTGCGAAAATTTAAGATTAAGGGCATGTTAAAGTTGTTCCCGTGCGGCTTCTTCTTTCACATGGCCTTAAGAAAATAAAGGTCCGGCCACAATTTTTTTTTCAAATAACGGGTCAAAAAAAAAGTGAAATTAAAGTCTCCGTTATGGAAAATAAATTTTCTTTTCCCGCCTAGAAGAGAGTTCCTTTATTTCACTTTCTTATGAGAGAGAGAGAGGGGGGGGAAGAAACTTTTTCGTACATAAAAAATTGACGTGAAAATCGTATACTATAAACAGTCTCCAGCGCTAAAAAAAATCTTATAAATATAGTGTTCTCTAATTAAAAAAAATTACTAATATAAGAAATCTACGAAGAATTTCGAGTTTTTATATTTATTATACCTAGTTTGTTTCTAGAGATTAATAGGACTTGTTATTATACTAATTCCAGAAAAGAAAAAATTTCTCGGAATATAGAAAATATGCAAAACAAAATTAGCAGACATATCATTTAAGACAATACACTTGTTAAGGAAACTAAGTTTCTACTTAAAATATAATTATTATCAAATATAAACTCTAATTCTTAAAAAAAAAAAATGAGAAAAAAGAAAATCTCAACAATGTAGATAAGTAAAAAAAAAGAATCGCTTCCCATCGAATCCAGAAGTGCTTAAAAAATTAACATTCTTTGCTCCCTGTCAATGACTGAACTTCTTGTCGATTTTTCTTTTCTCTCTTCATTTTTTCGTCAAGAAATATATATATATATATATATATATATGTGTATACATTTCTTTATGTATATAAGACAGGGAGCACTTCCGGTGCTCTCAATTCTTCATGAAAAAAAAAATTGCATTTTCTGGGTTATGAGAGCGATTACATCGAGGCGCTGGAGGCTGTCAAGAATTATTGTATATGTGGAGATGAGAAACAAGAAAAAAAAAATCTTGTCAAAAGATTTATTATAAAAACGAAGCAATGAAAAATCGTAAAACGAAGACACGCATGAATTGTACAAACAAGTCCCTCCACGTCACAAAAAGAAAAAAAATTAATAATATATATATATATATATGGAGAATATATATACATATAAATATATTTAACAAACTAAAATAAAAATACAAAAAAAATGGTAAATATGTGATGTATTTAAATGGTATGTGGTATATGGTATTTCGTATTTGTACATAGGCGGACCCGTGCCATCAACTAGTGAGTTGTACCGATTATTTTCTTTTAATTTTTATTTCTATGCTAATTATTTTATTTAATTCATTTGTTTTGTTTGAAAATTATTGTTACTTGAAGCACTGCAAAAACTGCCGATTAAAATGCAATTTTAATTATTATCTTAATTTTTATAAATCCAGGGAAAAAAGTGAATAATTTCTGTCCTAGGGAGTAAAACGGCTTCTTTTCACCCTAGGGAATAAAATGCCTCTTTTTCTCTCTAGTGTGTTAAATGAGCTCTTGTCACTTCAGTGTCAACATTTTTGCTCTGCGTTACTATTATTTATTATTATTATTATTATAATTATTACAATTATTATTTATTATAATTATTTATTATTATTATAATTATTATTATTATTATTATTATTATTATTATTATTATTATCTATAATTATTAATATTATTATTTATTAAAATATTTATTAAATAATATTATAACATTTGTTTTTTTGCGGTGTAAATAATATATTATTTACTTAAATAATTTTGAATGAATAATTTTTTTTTTTGGCAACTGCCATAAATGAAAATTTTGAGGTATAAAATTTTGGTACAACTCTATAAAGAAAGTGTAGCGTGGTTATTATACACCTGAGGAATGTGCTCAAAATACTGTATTAAAGAGAAAAAAAGTCTACTAAAGGAATCATCAACGTTTTGAATGCAAAATTATTACTCTTAATGAATGAAAGAAATTATTATGAATTATTCATAATTGTAATAACTATCATCCTCTTACCTATATAGTAAACAAAGAAAAATATACTTTAATATCTAATCTCCTCTTATTACATTCAAGCATGACACACTTTATACTCTTTCTATTTGATGTTATGCGAAATTCTCTATTAACTTTTTACTATACTTATTATTAACAAAATAAAAATAAACGAAAAAAAAATATTGTTAAAATAGCGCAATGTCAAAAAAAAATATTAATAAAATGTCATTTATATTATTACTCTATGATCAGCTCTAAATTAGAGTCAATGAATTCGATTTTTGTTGTTAATTAAATAGAAAAATGTGAATAAATAAAAAATTTTAAATACAAAAGTTAAAAGTTAAAAAGCAAAAAAAATATATATGAAATTTGATGAAAAATTTTCAAAATAGATATAGTATAGCTTTCATTTCGTTTTTGACTTTCACTTTCAATTTTACTTTCACATTTGAATTAAAAATAAAAAAAAAATAAAAATTAGAGTGAAAATTAAAATCAATATCACAATGGAAATTAATGTCGAATTTGAAATGAAAATCGAAATCAAAGTTAAAGTGAAAATCAAAGTTAAAATAAAAATCAAAGTCAAAGTTAAAGTGAAAATCAAAGTTAAAATGAAAATGAAAATCAAAGTTAAAGTGAAAATCAAAATTAAAATGAAAATGAAAATCAAAGTTAAAATGAGAATAAAAATCAAAGTTAATATGAAAATCAAAGTCAAGGTTAAAGTGAATATCAAAGTTAAAATGAAAATCTAAGTCAAAGTTAAAGTGAAAATCAAAGTTAAAATGAAAATCAAAATTAAAATGAAAATCAAAGTCAAAGTCAAAGTTAAAATGAAAATTAAAGTCAAAGTTGAAATAACAAATTCAAAGTCAGAATCAAAGTTAACGTTAAAGATAATAACAAAATCAATGTGAATTTAACAAAATCAAAAGTTAAAATAAAAATGTAAATCAAAATGTAAATTTTAAAATGAAAATCAATATCAAAATGAAAATTAGAATAAAAATCAAAATGAAATTCAATTTCATAGTAAAAATTAAAGCTAAAGACAATAACAAAATCAAAGTTAAAATGCAAAATCAAAGTGGAAATAAAATGAAAATGAAAGCGAAAGTGAAAATTAAAGTAAAAAATGAAATAAAAAAATTTGTCAACAAAAAATGCCAAAGAAAAAGTGTAAATCAAAATCAAAGTAAGAAATTAAAAAAGAAAATTAGTCAAAAACAAAATCAAAGAAAAAGTGAAAACTAATAACAAAGTCAAGAATGAAATTAAAGTTATACTGTATAAAAAAGTCAGAGTAAAATTCAATATAGAAATAGGAAAAAAAATCAAAATTAAAAAGAAAAATTGAAAAATAATGCCAAAATGAATATAAAAATAAAAATTTCCTTATTTTGAAGTAAAAATCAAAATAAAAATACATAATTGCAATTATATTTCTTAAAACAAAACAAAAAATTTTTTCCCTCTTAAAAGAATAATAATTATTCAAATTAAAATTGTATTTAAATTGAAAATTAAAAAAAGAAATTAAAAATTGAAAATTAAAAAAAGAAATTAAAAATTGAAAATTGTATACAAATTTAAAATTAAAAGAAATCAAAATAAAATTTTAAAATTGACTAAATTTAACGATTAATAATTACATTAACAATAATAAACATTTAGAAATAAATTCTAGTCTACATAGACTAGAATTTTTGAATTAAACTAAATTTAAACTAAGATTAATTTTACTTATTAAACTGAAATGGATTTTTAATAAAAGAAAATTTTCCTTCAAACAAATTATTTTGCTTTTTAGAAATAAACTTTACTTTTAATTTTTAAAAAAGTTTTTTTAAATTTAAAAAAAAAATTTTAAATTAATAATTAATTTAAAAGTAAAAATTCTTTACTTTTAAAAAATCAAATAATTTCCGAAGAGAAAGACGAGGCGGATATACGTTTGTCTGCTCAACTAGATTTTACCATAAAAAATATTCGTACAATTTAGAACCTAATCCTAAAACCTAATCAAAATATCTAGAATTATCTTGCTCAAAAAAGAGAATCTGGTAATAAGTATAAAAATTATAGTAAACTCTCCTAATAATAAAAAAAGCTCAAAAAAAGAAGATTGATGTCAAAAGCGTAGAAATTTGGACAATACTTGCGAATTTACTTTTTTTTTTTTGCTCAAAAAAAATTTCTATTTCTGATTTAGAGCTGTTTTGTAGAGTATTGATATATTTTTTAAATTTAAGATTCACACAATAATCAAGCTCTGCATTCATCGCTTTTTTTCCTCTCTACATAAAGAAAATAATTGTTTTTTTCTTCCATACTTTCAAACGACTAAATAATTTTTTAATAAGCGGCCTAATAATTTTCTCTGAAAGCAGATATTGTAAAGCTTGATTAACACAATTCAAAAGAGTCAATTTTCAAGATGTGATGGAGTTGCCAGTTCAAAAAAAAAAAAATAATATAAAGGTAATTATTTCAACGACATGTCAACGACTATTTGGAGGCCATAAAAACCCCTAAAGGTTACTCAATCACATCTTTATTTTTTTGTTTCTATTTTTCAAGAATCTCGTAAGACATGAGTCCCTTTCAACAAGAAAAATGACAAAATTACAATTTTTCGAATATTGTAAATTTTTTTTTTAATTTTCCAGTTACGGTAATTTTAATTATTAACTAAATTAAATTTATTTAATTATGTAAAGAAATTATTATTTGTTGATAAAACAAAAATTTGCTCGTTTTGCAAAATTGCTGTTGGGGCGCCATCTGTAACCATGTGGCCGAACTAAGAGAGAAATGGCCTTGTTCGAAAAATTTTGCAAAATAAGAATAATTTATTAAAAAAAAAAAAAACGAAAAATAATAATTTTGATTGAATTTCCATTTTTAAGGGACGATTTTAAAAAAAAGGAAAGAAAAAACACAAAATTGTGTTTTTGGTGCCGATAGAGCGATCCGGATGTACGCTAGTAACCGCACATCAGTATTATGTTAAAAGCGATATTATACATTGTATTAGTGAGTATATTATACTATATTGCGTATACATACCACTTGATTTAATATATACACAAATATTGACTATAAATGCGATATTATTATTACCACATAGCGGACGATATGAATATAATGTATAAAAGGTTAAAAAAAACCAGCTAGTTTTGAATTACAAAACTAGCAACAAAGGGATGAAAAAAAGTTTGATATTAATCGCTATATAATCTCGATGTTAAAAAAAATTACAAGTAATTTTTTTTTATCCATAAAAATTTCCAGTAATTTTTTTTTCTTTCAGTTGGGCAATCATTTTTTCGATTTTAAAAAATAAAATCCTATTTTATTCAGAGAATCTCGCAAAGGAAAAAACGAACTACTTTCTTTTATTTTTGGAAAAAAATTTTTCAGAGGCGAGAGTCAATATGATTTTAGGAAAAAGCGCCAAGTACTAAGAAACTGGTTTTAATACTCAAAATCTGATAAACAATCTAACGTCGTTTATAAATGAATATATATATGATAGATGCTAAATATATGAAGAATATATTATATATTATTACGACATTACATAAATAGTATATATGTATGATACATATATATAACTATTTTCTTCTATGGATATTGTGAATGACTGATAAGCGTATAATTTTCGTCAACTTTTTCAAAAACACTTTGTCCCCACTTGAAGAATGGCCTTCAACTATGTATTTTTTTATGAATTTAGTAACGATTATTAAATTACTTTCATAACAGTTTAAATTGATTGAATAACAATTAAAAATGTTTTCATAATACTTGAAATTATTTTAATAAGAATAGAAATTATTTTAGTAACAATTGAAATTACTTTAATAAGAAATTAAATTATTATAACAATTGAAATTATTTTAGTAACAACTAAAATTAGTAAAGCAATTAAAATTATTTTAGTAAAGAATTAAAACTGTTTTGATAAACATTATCCGATTAAGCTGGCTATTAATATTGTGGTCTAATAGTAATGAAAATGTCTTACCTTCTTTGTATAATTGGACGAAAAACGACTGCGGAGAGATAAGACCGTGCGAACCACTCGGCAGTCGCGCCGAGACTGACTCGAAGGTAGCTAGTGCGCTCCTTTTATACTGCTCCAGACGGTGAGAGAGGGAGGGGCCTCCACGCGCGGTGATTGGCTCCCGCAGTAAGCGCGAAGAAAACGTCGACTCTCCCCCCCCCCTCTCTCTCTTCCTTTCGAACGTATTATATTTTCTAATTACCATACACTTTATTCTTCACATCGTAATATAAAATAAATCAAAACAGTAATGCCATAATGTAAATAAAAATATTGCCATAATATAAAACAAATGATAATAGTAATGCAATAAAAATACAAATTTCCTTTTTCCAAAATGTTAATTACAATAAAAGAAAACAGGAAAGCAATTCGAAAATAGTGGTGGCAATCTGTTTGGACAACTAGCTATCTCAACACCGAGCTATACCAAAAAAAAAGAAATGAATAACAAAAAAAATATATGTAAGTCAAGTGCCTTGTGTTCTGGTAACTAATCGTTGACTTTTAAAACTACTACGATATTTAAT